AGCTCACCTCCTGGTCTTCCAAGGGAGAGGGAGTGGTGAGGAATTATGTCAGCCATTGAAACAGTGGTTGCAGAATTCCAAACTATGGTGAAAGTGATAGATCAACATTTGAGAATACAGGGAGAGAATAACTGGAAAATCATATATGGGCCAATTTGAGGTTTGTGCCATTTGGATTTCCAAGAGAAAATTAACGGGTATAAACATGGTGTTCCAGATAATACTGGTCCCCTATAACACCACAAAATATTGGTCTTAAAGAAATTGTGCTGGTGGACAATATGTGTCTGCTCTGAATTCAAGGTGCAGGTGATGATTTTTAAATCCCTACATGGTTTGGGACCTCAGTACTTAAAGGATTACCTGTGATATATGATATATGCCTGCCTCAAGCCTGAGATCTGCTGCAGAGCTCCTACTCTTTCTCTTACCAGTTGGAACAATACATTGTGTAAGAGGACATTTATGGAATACCTGAATACACTGAAAATTGTGGGTTTTTTTCCTGGCACAAACAAAAGAGGTTTTTTTTATTAAAATCTTGGAGGCCTAAGTAACTTTTCCCCAAAAGTACATGTACTTGGTTGGAATTGTTTTAAACTTTTATGTGCCTTCAATCTCTTTGTTTTTCAGCTCAGCTTAAACTGTAAATTGCCTTTACATGTGCACCACCCTGAGATCCTGCACTTTAAATATTTCAGAATAAATAAATAAGGGTATGGTGTAATTAAAGGACAAAATACATATTGTGGAGGTGCCCACAATTATTTTGTACTGTGGATAATGTAATTCTTTCAAGTAAATGTTTTGGGGTTAGGGTATTAAGCATTTTTGAAGGAAGGAGTTGAAGTATTTTTTCCTTCTCAGCCTGTATCTCAATGTTTCCATTTTAAAAAGAAAGAGAAACTAGGGACGTTATCACACATGGGCCAGAAAGCAATAATAAAGTGGAAATGAGGCATTCCGAAAATAAACGGAAAATAAACCTTGATTCTGCAAATGGCTGTCACACATAATTACCTTAATTGCGAATTTACAGTAAGCGCATTTAACGTTCACACACAAGTGAGAAAAGCCCGTAAATGTACTAGAAATGAGCTTCTTGCACATGCACAGATAGAGGAATGCTCGCTGGAACAATGGGAAAAGCAGGGAAATGCT